CAACACCACTGTCAGGGCTGATGTTAATTAGCAGTGATTACAGACCAACAAACAATCACTAATGAGGATCATCTTCTGTCAGCTGCTCCACAGAAGACTATCTCCCTATCCCAGCATCCCCCTGCATCTCCTCCTTCACTACATCCATGAACTTCCTCTGAGGTCTTCCTCTTGCCCTCCTGCTCCGTCTTCATCACCCTGTGTCCAGAACATCCACCCTCCCTCCTCTGCACATGTACAAATCCTCCTAGCCTCTCTGATTGACTCATGTCTAATACAGGAGGTATACACCAGTATTGGTGATTTAAATACAGTAATACCGTGGGCTGTCACTTTGATAGTCACCCGCTTTGGCCACAGTCAGGAAAAAACAAGCCAGTCCTCACCGTGTTTCAGTCTGATGGAGTCGAGGTCGACCTCCACCCCCTCCACATGAGGCCAGGGCATCACAGGCTTAAACTGCTCTGCAAGGTCACCTTTGGGCAACAAGCTGTCATCCTGCATGATGAAACACAACAGACATGGATATTAAACACGTGTGTCCTACACTGAAATACAATGCAGCTCATTTTAAACATTCACAGAGTTAATGCAGCCAAGACACAGCGAGTCTGTCTGCGCGCCACGCTGGTCACAAACACGAGCGAATCAAAACCAAACACACCACAAACAAACAAACTCGAAAGGTTCTGCAGAGAAAAGCACATCAATATCATTACTGTCCTGTTCTAGATGTTAAATTCTGATAATCAAACGTGATTCAAACATATGGTTAGTGCACAAGATCCTAAATAAAGTTGCTCCACTGCAGTTACCAGGTCCACCACAAGGGGGGGCTGTGCTTCCAAGTGTGCGGAGACTTCAGCTCTTCTGTCATGATGTGAACTAATGGATTGTCGGCATTAATCATTAATCATTTTGTTTTGTGCTTTATGGGATTGTATTTATATGTTTAATATTCTGATATCTGGTAGTGTGTGTGTGTGTGTGTCTGTTAGTGTGTGTCTGTTAGTGTGTGTGTGTGTGTGTTAGTGTGTGTGTGTGTGTGTTAGTGTGTGTGTGTCTGTTAGTGTGTCTGTGTGTCTGTTAGTGTGTGTGAGTGTGTGTGTGTCTGTTAGTGTGTGTGAGTGTGTGTGTGTCTGTTAGTGTGTGTGAGTGTGTGTGTTAGTGTGTGTCTGTGTTAGTGTGTGTCTGTGTGTGTTAGTGTGTGTCTGTGTTAGTGTGTGTCTGTGTGTGTCTGTTAGTGTGTGTGTGTGTGTGTGTGTGTGAGTGTGTGTGTGTGTGTGTGTGTGTGTTAGTGTGTGTGTGTGTGTGTGTGTGTTAGTGTGTGTGTGTGTGTGTGTGTGTGTGTGTGTGTGTGTGTGTGTGTGTGTGTGTGTGTGTGTGTTAGTGTGTGTGTGTGTGTGTGTGTGTGTGTGTTAGTGTGTGTGTGTGTGTGTGTGTGTGTGTGTGTGTGTGTGTGTGTGTGTGTGTGTGTGTGTGTGTGTGTTAGTGTGTGTGTGTGTGTGTGTGTGTGTGTGTGGTGATTTAAACTGTAGCTTTTCCTTTTGTGTACAGTCCCTGAAACCAAATCCAAAGAAAAGAAACACAAACACAGACATCTATACAAACAATGAGGTGTGTGCGTTGACTGTGTGACAGCAGGGTCAGGCTCCAGCATCCCCGGCCGACCTGGGTGACTGGATTACATACAGCTGCTCGCAGGCTCGGTGACCCACCTGCTTCAGCAGGGAACAAAGCTGCTCGTGTAGCACGTTAACCTAAGATGATGAGAGCCTGTTCCTACTTCTTCATGGACTCGCTCAGCCAGATCTGCAGCTCCGCACGTGTAAAACCAACTGAGTGTGAGCAGCTCTCAAACCTCAGCACGCCAACAAAGAAATAAACAAGTTGGTCATAAATGTGTAAGAGCATGTGTTGGTCAGCTTGCTTCAGTCTTCCCTCATTCACAGAAGTCAGCGATGGATTTTTGCAGCGTCTGTCTAAATTGACAACGCAGAATAAACCCCGCCTCCCCCTTGTTTGATGATCTGGTCTGGTCCAGGTTCAGCCCTTCCGAGCTGATGTTAAACAGCCAAGCAGACGGCGAGGTGTGTTTCAGAAGAAGACACACCGGTGGAAACTAAACTCCTAGTGAAGGAAGCTGCTGGACTTCCTCAGCGTTAGCCAGTTTACCTTATTTCTATTAGAAAAATAATGTTTTTGTGTTTAGCCAACACTTAGTGGGTGCAGGCACACTCTTTGTGCATGTGTGTACTAAATCATGTATCTGCCTCACTGCTGCCAGGACACACAAATCAAACCTCAGACTGTCCCACACTCACTCCCGACACTGAAGGAGCCCCACTGATATCTGAAGGAGCACAGGAGCTCATTGTTCGTCTATGCACTGTTTATTTAGTAATAATAAGACCTTATGGTTATAGCCCCCCACATAAACAGTTTTGCACGCTGCCTGTGACTGCTGCCTTCAGCAAGCTAAATCAGATGAAACCCTGCTAGAGTTGGCCATGAAGGTGAACCGCTCTGAGGGGTCACGGTTCATGGAGACAGAGGTTCTCTCACCCTCAGTACAAACCACCAGGTGGCGCATTACCCAGTGTTGAAGGTTGGTGGCAGGCCCAGACGACACACCACAGCAGGTACATGACTACAGGTGGGTTTCATAAGCAGCCCGTGTTAAAAATTAAATATCACCAGTAGCTGCAAACAGCTGTGATCGCTCCGTTGATCCTTCACTAGCAAACTGTGACACAAGCTGGCAGAGAGGCAGCAGTCCTGCCTGAAGCTCACAGCACAGCCTCAGCGCAGCATACCGAAGACCATAGCAGGGAGTCTGTGATGGGTGCTGCCCGTTAGCTGTCTAACATCACACTGTTCAAGAGACTCGGTGTGATGTTGACACCAACAAGAAATGAGCAGAGTTGAATCCATGTTCAGAGAGAGGCACGGCACCCACACAGCCTCTCTGCACCAGGCTGGTGTCGGTCAGCCGTGGCAGGATTCATTTACTGCCCTAAAATTGCTAATACACTAATACTCCACTAGGCCAGCATTCAACAACACCCTACAGTAACTGTAAGTATGGATGAATTATCAGCAAAGTATCAAAAATAACTCCTTTTTAGTACTTTGAGCATTTGTGGGGAAAATTCCTGGAAATGGTCCAACCCCCCATCCATCCACCACCACAGCAACTGTCATCATGTGTATCAATATACACTCATGTGGCAAAAACAACTGGGATACGTCTTTTGTCCATATAGCCCAGCCCTGTAGAGGTGACACCATTTCTGTGGCAGCCTCCTTACACCAGATCCAATAACGGTGTGAAACCCTGCACCAGTCCCCTCTACCTACACCTGCCTCCAGCCAAAGAGGCAGACAATGTCCTGAAGACATGACAACAGATGGTGCAGCCTGTCTGTCTCCTGTGTTTGACAGCGCTGTAAGACTGGTCAGGGCTTCAGGACACCTGTTCTGGCACAAATAAAGAGGACGTACTGGACACTTGTCCTCTGACAACACCAGCGTGACTGTGCAGAGCCTACACCATTAAACAGCTGCAGACACGGGACACGACACGTAAAGGTGTCCCACTGTGGGCTGCGGCGTGCACACAGATCTGCCTCTGAGGTGTGACTGAGGCACCGGGAGCTGCTGAAGCCTCCATCAAAGCGCCAGAACACGTCCCGGGACCGGGTCCACGCAATCTCCACACGGGTGCCCTTTCTTACATAACCCAAAAAGGATCTGCGTTTCCGGCTGGAATTGAACCAACAACCTCCCGCCGGCCATGACCGTGTGGCTCAGTGGCACACTGGTCTTATGTCTACATGCAATCATTTGAATACCTTGCAGAAAAACCGCAATACCGGAACAACTTTTACAACCCACTTCCGCCTTTGACTCCAACATGGTGACATATGCGGATATGAATGCTGGGAGCCACGGTGCTGTCAGCAGCAGCGACTGTACAGCTAGAGTCCAGACCACAGCGTCCGCTGACTGCCCAACACACACAGTGCAACAGCGTGTCATAACTGCTCACACGCTAACACTGATGTGGCTCAGAGCCTGTTGTGTACTCACCCTTTTCTCAAACGGGCTGTCTCTGTTGGCGTTGGGGGTCAGGGTGGACCAGAGCACCAACAGGCCCAGAAACGTGCCGATGACCAGCAGGCTCCGCAGAATGAATCCCACTTTGAGCCTCATGTTAGCAGCAGCCGCTACGCTGCGTTAGCTTCAAGTTAGCACGGGAGCTAAGCAGCTAACAGGTCGCTAGCTTGTGCTGAATGTTGAACAGGCTCCTGCTGACGCAGCGACCTCCGCCTCCACTACACCGACACGCCGTGCCTCTCCATGCTAGGAACAGTTTCTTCTTCTTCGGTTGTTTCTCGGTCGTGTCCGGCTCTCTGAGGCGCCGTGTAGATGTAGACGCAGTACCACCACCTGTGGGGCTGTGCTGCTGCACGGACGACAATGCTGGTAGGCTGTGGTCTCCACTGCTGACAGGCTCACGCACGGGCTTAAAAGCAGGTATTACTGGGTGTGGAGACAAACAAGAGGTCGGTCCTGTCTGGTTTGTTCGTCATTAGGAGGGATGTGGCTCATTGTCCACGTCATATACAATTGTAAAAAGCGCATCCAAGGGAACAGTAGGCATTGGTAGCATTCACACGGAGTTAATATGAAAGCATTCAGAATAAAGGTACGGGGTGATAATAAGTCCAAATCATTAGAAGCAATGATTCGGTCTCACCTGGTACCAAGAGGATGCAGAGAGCTGAATCACAGGTGTGTACAGGTAACTGTACAACACCTCAGATGTGTCTGGCCTGATTTAAGCCACATAAAGACGTGGACATGCCAACACACTGAAAGGCACTCAACCAATTAAACGCCTGCATGTTTTGTACAACCACACACCTCGCTGAGGTATTTCCACACCCGACCTTCAAATAAATAACTTTACCAAGGAAATAAGAAATTGAAGAGGATTAGATATGACACACTTTATTCATCCCAAACGTTGGGAAATGATCACATTACAGCAGTCACAACATGAAAACAGCCTCACTCAATAAAATAAATATGACATCACAAAACGAGCAGCTCAGAAAGATTAAAAAATACACACGAAGCTGAAGTGAAATGAATAAATACAAGTGAAATCGCAAAGTAAGTCATGAAGGGTTATCCAGTGTTGTTCTGATCAGTGTTGGACTGAACTCAGACGGTAACAGCAATGATGGAGGACGGGTACCATCACACTGGGGTCCAGGACATTTCCATGAAATATATTCATCCAGTCACCAGGATGAGCCTGATGTCGGTCACCCTGGAGCCTTCACGTCATCAGATCTTTGTCTTCGCCGTGACCCTTGGAAGCAGGTGAAGTTGAACAATGAAACTACAATGATGGCTGAAACAGGCGCTCAGCTCAATCACGGTGAAGACTGTCCATCGCCAAGCTAAGGCGAGACCTACAGACTGAGACCTGATAAGACCAGCAGAGCAAACAGCAGTCGTTTCAGCACCTAAAGTTCATGAGGAGTCATTAGGCTAAACAAAAGGAATAAAAACAATCAAATTCTGTTTAGGACACAAAGACAAATTGTCCCCATTGTAACTAAAGTTCTAGTGAAAGAAACAGGTCGTCAGTTATGGCGATGAAAGTAATCTGCTGTGCAACAGAGCGAGTACAGCATGCAGCAGGTCTGCGTGTTCTCGTGTGAAATGTCGGCGGACTCGGTGTAACCACAGAGCGGTGATATCAGCGTGCACGGTGGCGTCACTGCTCGTTGCTTCTGTAGTCCAGGTAGTGAGTGAGCAGGCCGGGCAGAGGAAGCACAGGGAGCAAGTTCAGTCTGGATCGCCCAATCAGATTTCTGATCTGAAGACGACACAACTGGCAGAGACTCCTTGGAGAAGCTAGAAGGAGACAGAGACAGAGCTGCTGTGACTCAGACCAACTTCGTTTCATCTGGTTCTACACAATAACAGAGTCACCACAGCAGCACATGACCAGTACCTTCAAAGGCCAGCAGCAGCTGGTGTGTTTTCCCACCAGGGGGCGCCAGCTCCACCGGCCGCTGATTGTTGCCGTCTCGGAAGTTAGTATTCGCCCCGTAGTCGAGCAGCAGTGACACCTGATCTGCGCTGTCCTGTCTGACAGCCGCATGCAGAGGGCTGTCGCAGCCTCTGCCCACACTTACATCTGCTCCTAGATCAGACACACCCACAGAGCCATGAAACGTGACCATGGACGGTCGACACAGAGACATTTACCTGCTCTTGTCTGACAGACCACTCCAGCTGCTCCAGACCACAAGCACATTTGTTCACACATCATCCTACAACACTTTTTCCTGCAGCCTGAAGCACTTTCCAGAGCTTTTACTCACACACAAGGCCAATCCGGATTAATCAAAGAAACCCTTCATACATGTATTTGGACTGTGGGTGTGGAGACTCTCCACACACAAAGACCAGCCGACCAGAACAATCAAACCCAGATCCTTCCTGCTGTGAGAGCGCAGTGCTCACCACCATGCGGACTGTCCTCTATTATTTTTTTAGGACGTGGCCTGTTAAACAAATTTCCCAGGTGTGGGACTAACAAAGGTTTATTTTTCCTTATCTTTCCATACCTTATCTTATCTTGTCTAACACGCCCGGGAGGAAGCCGCACTCTTGTGTGTTAACACTGACATGACCGTGACTCTGGTCTCTAACCCTGACCTAACACTCTCCTCTTTGCAGTGCATCTCCCCATAGTCTGTCCTCGGGGTTAATCATAATAATAATACGTTTTATTTGAGGGCGCCTTACAAAAAGAAAAAACATATCAATAAAAAATTGATTCAAATACATTTAAATAGAAAAACAACAAACAAGATTTGACAACAAGTAAGATCTGTATTAAAGTGAGTAAGCCAGTTTAAACAGGCTTTGAGCTGTGACTTAAATACGGGAATCTATATTTCCTATGAGTAGGGATGGGTATCAAACCCGGTTCTTGTTGAGAACCGGTTCCCACAGTTTCAGTTCCTTGGAGTTGTTTGCCATTTTTGCAAACGATTCCCTTATCGATTCCAGTCGCCCCGAATGACGTCACCACGTTGTGGAGCGTCATTTACCCGGCAGGAAACACGGCACGTAAGCGGCTCAAACGCTCAAGTTTGGTTATGCTTTACGAGAACGGATGACAACAGCTCTGCTCCCCACAGTGAGGAGACGAGCACAAGGAACAACAAGATGAGTGGCAGATCTGAGAGAGCGGGAAACAGTGGAGATATGAAGCAGATCACAGAGATGAGGAGGGCCAAGGTTATGGATGCACTTAAACGTGAGAACCAAGATTTTTACGTTTATCTTGGCTTCTGTGGGCAACCAGCTGTTGAAGAACTGGTAATATAGTCTCTTAAAGGAGTTATGACCCCAGCTGCTGGTTATGAGACGTTAGTGACTTCATATTTTCACTTTTTCCACCTTCAGATGTATTTCCACGGTTACGGGAGCTTTCATTTTAGCACGAGCGTCAGAGCTGTCAGGTGATTGTTCAGAGGACTCCAAAGCTTGAAACATCAGTCACAGCCCTGCAGACATGAGCCGCATCAGGTGAAGCTACTCAGCTTTGTAGTGAATGAGACTCACACCTCTGTGCAGCAGGACCTTTGAGCAGGCTGTGTGTCGGTGCAGACAGCTCACATACAGAGGAGAGCCCAGGTGGGAAACTTCATAATCTGGATCTGCTCCATGAGACAGCAGGGCCTCCACACAGTGGCTGTTACCTGCACGTGTACACACATAGTTGCAGTTAACACGTGTTACCCATAGTCAAACAGTGCGCTGGCTATATTTACCTCTCTTGCAGGCTTCGTGCAAAGCTGAGGGAAAGTGTGTGTGATGCGCACGCGTGTGTGCGCCGCTCTGCAGGAGCAGTTCCACACAGCCGACGCTCCCCGACGTACAGCAGTTGTACAGAGGAGTGACACCATCAATGGTAGCAGCGTTCACCTGGACACACACAAACAGATGCTGGACACAAACACACGGTGCGTCCATGCAGATGTACAGATGGTGCTGATACTCACATTAGCTCCAGCATTTAGTAAAGCTCTGACACAGGCGACGTGTCCTGATAGACAGGCTTCGTGAAGAGGAGTCACATGATCGATGGTGACAATGTTGGCGTGATAGCCCTGAAAAACAGATGTAAATAACGGGACGTGTGTCGGCTTTATTCAAACTGATAAGCGATTACCGGAGCCTCACATCGATGTCCAGTTACCTGGGCCAGCAGAGTGCGCAGGGCAAGCAGCCGACCCTGAGAAGCTGCTTCATGGAGAGGAGAACGATCTGCCCAGGACCCTGAAAACACACAGAAAAAATGCAGACATGTAGTAGAAAGTGGAATACAAAGCACCAGCCTGAGCTCATTAATGACTGATGTGCTTTCAAACTCTGTCTCAGGCTTAGTTTGAAGATCAGGAATTTCACGATGAAACAGTAACATGTTTGTCCATGTGAGGACTTCTATGATGACACCCTGCCGTTGTGTTGCTGAACACTAAGCAGTAGAGCATCTCCCTTCTCTGCGACCCATGGACACACATCACACGTGCGGCCTGACACGCTCTCTAAACCACAACAGGAACGCTTTGAATCCCACACACTGGAGGCATGTGGCTCCATGCTCCACTGTATCTTACTGTGGAGCTGAAGGGCTCCGCAGTAAGATATAGCGTAAGGATCTTCTTGTGGCAGGGCTGCCACAAACTATTATTCTGATAGTCGACTAGTCACAGATTATTTTTGCCATTAGTCGACTAATCAGATCATCATCCATTGGACGTAAAACTGCGCACTTATTTAACTATCATTAGCTTACAGCTTGAGGTGTTTAAGGTATGTGCTAACTAAAAATAAAGACAAGATGATAGTTTATTAAACTTTTAACAAACTCAGCCGTCTGCTCCTTGCTATCTAAAATATAACAGGACACTGGAGTAAACTCTCGACCATCTCAGACTTCTGTCAGCTGTCTGTTTGACGTTTATTCAGCTACGTCAAAACTAACTTTAATCTCAGCCAAACCGATTTACAAATAAAACACAAAAAAAAGCCAAACAATAACAGTTTTAAGTTATCTAAGTGACTTATATATCATGTTTAACCCAAATAGCGAAAGTCCACGGTGGGTTTGAAAACGATTTGCCGGGAGTCTGCAATTCTCGTCGGCTCGAGTGACCATTGAACCCCCGGCTCGCTATCGAGCTGGTGGGTAACAGACGTCTCCGAAAACGTCAGAGCGCTTTTGCAAATATGTGGTGTCTTGATAAACCGAGCAGATATTTGAAGTTTACAGCTACATTCTTGCCTGAAAATATGTTAGAAGTTTGTTTTGCGACCCAGAATGATTAAGAAGAGTAATATTAAAACTCAGTAGCTGCCGCCATTGTTGGAAACTGGAATTGGCTGAGCCGTGCTAAATCTGGGGAAAAGTAGGACGCATTTGTCGGCTGCATTTGGGAAGCCTTTGTCACATCGCTGTAACGTAATCGGCCTTCAAATGCGGCCTCCAAAGGATGCGGCCTGAATTTGGACATATCGACGATACCGGAGTTGCTTCTTCTTCTTCGGGGTTTAACGGCAGCTGGCATCCTTGTGCATGCAGTGCTGCCATCTTCTGTTTCAGTCCATTATTCCACTCTTAAATCCTGCTACTTATTCCTGCGTCTTTCAGGACAAATTTAATAGTCAACACTTCGTTTAAAGCCTTGTAAGATACAAGGCTTTAAACGAAGTGTTGACTATTAAATTTGTCGTTGGCGATTTTGATAGTCGACTAATCGTGGCTTATTTCGCTCTTATAGAACATTTCACTCGCTGGGCGCACGTCCTCATTTTATGTTTGACAGCATTTTAGTAGGTAAAGGTGAAGCTTGGACATGAGTTGAGCTGTGGTTTGGGGAAGGCGTCGAAGGGGATCGGCGACAGCTCCCGGGCCTGACAGATCCCCATGTACTTAATAGAAGAGAAGAAGCTAAAGCAGGGAGGGCGGGTGGGGCACGTAAACGAGAATGAACAGCTTGCAGAACTGGGGAACCTATATAGATGAGAACCGGAAGGAGCGTGTTTGGAGGCGTGGCCCTGCTCCTGAAATTGCTGCTTAATCTGCAATTAAGGTAGAAAACAGGACGAATCACAAAGAATTGCACTTAATGAGAAACGTGATTTTTACTTGTTTTGTAGCAGGGCGTCAGCACCTGCATTTGGAGCTCGTCAGCACGTCCTCAGCTGTCACTGCAGCACACACCACAGACCCACACACAGTCTCACGTCCAACATACCCATATCTCCGTCTCCCCACGGCACATCCAGCCACTGGTAGATATAGGACATTTTGACTTAAGCAGAATCCCTCCACTCCTCCTGTTTGTCCTTCCTGTATGCGGGACACATCAGACTAAGAATCACCTCGCCATCGAAACACCAACAAAACACTGAGAATGATCAGATGAGACTATAATGAGCTGGATCACTGACAGGCTCCTCCTGTGGCAGAGCACTGAGCAGTGTCTCCAGATCATAACAACGAACCTCTCTGATCAAAAAGCTGAGCCCACTCTGTCAGTGAGTCACTAATTCAATGAATCTGCCTTCAGCCGCAAAGAAATGTGTAATGTTTCTGTTAAGAGTGCACAGTTAATGCTCAGTCATCCAGGTAAGGAAATCCCAAAAGGTTGGTTCTGTTCATCTGGATGTTTCAGTGGGAGAAACGTTTGGTCATCATCCAGGTGACAGTACACAGTTAAGTAGGAACGCAGCCTTGCTCCAGTGAGCTGCTGCTGGCGTCCTGTGGATGGTACGACACAGCTGCCGCGGGGTTTAACTGGGCTACATTTAAATAAGCTTTCTGCAGGTTTTACAGATGTGTCATTAAATCATTCTGTATCAAAAACATGTTCACAGGGCTGACTTTAGGTTAATGTTATCATAGTTTTCTATTTTCTAATTTGTTTTATTTCATCTGGACTTTTTGCTTTTGATTCGTTTTAGTTTGAGTCATTTTCCAGAATGAGCTTCCGTGTTCAGTTTAGTCGTTATTGTTTGAAAATGTTTAGTTTCATGTTATGAACTAAAAAGTCTTTTAGTTGTAGTTAACTGTAATAACCCTAACCCTGCATGGCCCACATTAACACTAACTAACCAAAACCAATTTAGAAGCATTCATTAACCAAAGGTTGAAACCTGAACCTTCAAACTGCACGTGTGTGACGTGTTCACAGCATTAACCACCTCCAGCCTCAGAAACTCCTGAAAACAGACGCGTGCTGCTGCACTGGGAGTCTTCCTCACTCTTACAATGAAGCGCTGCAGGAATCTTTCAGAACATAACAGGATACAATCACAAGTCCCTAAAATGTTTTACTTGAAACAGCCCACTTTCCCTCACCCTCCACCTTATGTAGGAACATTTCATTCACACATCTTTTGAAAATAACTTTTAGTAACATCTGCCAGCGTAGCTCTGTGCTAGCTGGGTCAGCTGGTTGGTAACGTTTGTCAGTGGTGCCAGACTTGGGTATCCTGACTATTTGAAACTGGCTTTCTAAAACAGGACACTGGAGGGTGTAGTAAGCAAGTCTGATATGGCCAGGCTATCTTTAGTTAGCGGGTTTGAAAAAAAAAAGCGCAGTCAAGTCCGAGACAGAGATCACGACAGACGTCTGTCAAAAATAGAAGAAAAATGAATGCAAAGCTCGTTTGCAAGCACAAAGAAACTTCCTATGAAGGTCGTAAACAGCTGGAGCCGCTCTCAGCTAGCTGGCTGCGAGGCAGGGTGCCTGCACAGTGCTGACACAGAGGGCAGTCCCACTCACATTCACGCCTGTGGCCAGTGTAGTGTGTCTGTGGACTGTGGGAGGACAAGAATATCCATTCTGTTCATCGCGTCATAGACCTTAGTGCTGCCTCCATTAGATCAGTATTTACTGACTGAACATGTAACAAACAGCTCACAAATACACTGAGCAGCTTTCTGTGTTTGGCTAATTATGACCCAGCATTAAAGCACATGTATGCATTTCTGTATCAATAACTGAATGCATGATGAATTCCGCTAACACAGAATTTTTACTTAACTTTGTTTACCGACATTATTCAAACATAGCATGTGCAGTATATGTACTGTACAGCTGAAAATGGAGGTGTATGCTGAGGTCTGTGAACCTCCATTGTTTCTAACAGCCAGCAGGGATGACATGTCCACTGATGATTAAAAAAAATCAGATTTCAAAGAAACCTAAGGGAAAAGACCCTTGAGCTGCCTTCATGACATTCTTTTCTCCCTAAACCTCCAACGCCCGAGGATAAATGGCCCTCCCTGAGCCTGGTTCTGTTGGAGGTCTCTTCCTGTTAAAGGGGAGTTCTTCCTCCATTCTCTTACCAGGTGCGTGGAGAACACAGGCGATGGGCACATTGTTGGGTTTTCTGTATAATGTGGTAAGATCTGTACTTCACGACACAAAGTGCCTGTTGTAAACACAGAAGCGAGTGCTCTGTGCTTGTGTAATAAAGAGATTATTGTGTTCTTCTCATTTAAATGTAGGCCTTACTGCAGTTTCACGTGATAAAGTTCAAACACAGTTATTTTGGACAGGTATACTGATGCTGTGCCATTAATCGGGAGTTTTGCGTGGGTATTTTCACAAGTAGTGCTGCTGATTTAGCTTAAGGATCTTCAATCCAGCTGCTTCACAGAGCAGCAGCTCTTCAGTGCAAACCCCGTTTAAATGTACCACCTTAGTATAAAAGCACCCGGCCGGCAGTGTTTCCATACGTCTGCTCAGCTCCAGTCAAACTGCTGGAGGCCCCGCTTGGCCCTGGAGCAGGGCTGTTCCAAACACGCTCAAATTCCACCTGACAGCCACACACTTGTAGAAAGTGTGTTATTTACACTGACACTCTGATAGGGACTATTTACAGAAATCCCCCCGCCACCAATGTGCTTCCACCCAAAACACATCAATGCGCCCACCTTGGCTGGTAAGAATTCCCCAGCAGGCCCGCTTCCTCTCCGAGACGTGCCTCGGCAGCAGGCCCGGCTCAGCACCTCTTTTCCGGGACACTTCGGTAGCTCCACACGGCGCCGGCAGCATGTTCCGACTACTCCGAACTCCGCTGCAATACTGCAGGCAGCAGCAGCTCGGAAAGGAGGAGGGCGAGCTGGGAGTCTTATGATTGGCTGAAGAGGTTTGTTTGCGTTCGGGGCACATGGCCATCTCACATGTGCGCCCACGTGTGGAGCATAGATACAGAGCGCTCCCCAGTCGGACCCACTCCAGACTAGTGATGGGATTTCCGGATCTTTTTAGAGAACCGAATCTTTCGGCTCGACTCACTAAAAAGATTCGACTCTTTCGGATCCGAGCCGACTCTTCAGGTTGTTTTGTTGCTTTAATTAATTTATTACTAACAATAATATAAAATAATGCACAAAATGAATTACTAATGTAAAAAAAAGTGTTTTTATTTATATATGTTTATATATAAATATATGCGGTGGCCCCTAGAGACAAAACGCGTACAAACTCCAAAACACATTTCTAGCGTTAACTGAACGTCCAAAACAGAGCTACCTAGATCATTTAAATTACACAATTGAAAGCATATGTGTATTGTTTGTGTATTTATACACAAGCTGTATTTATACACAAGCACTCATATATATTCAAATAATTTAAAAACAAATGTTCATTTATTTGTTACTACCACACACCAAATCCGGTCGTTGGTACTTGCTGGCTTGTGTAGCCACTAAGTAACAAAAGCTCAACACTGCGCCCAGCATCCTGGAGCACTTCTGTTGTCTTTTGTACGTGTTTTTACGTGCTTCGGAGTTTGTACGTGCTTCAGAGTTCGTAACTGTTTTGAAGTTTGTACATGCTTTGTCTCTAGGTGCCACCGCAAATATACTTTTATTTATTCACTCCACATAAAATGTAATAAATAAATCATATAATACAAAAACAAACTATTCACATTTCAACTTTTAACTATTTAAATTTTCAGCTTTTTCATTTTAAACAAATTTAAAGTGAAACAACACAAAACACTGCAAACCACAACACAAATAAATATAAATTAAAATATGAAAACAAAAAGAAGATGCACACTCTCTGTCATATGGGCCTGCATGAATAAACTTTCTGAATCCTTTATCACCTGCAACTGAAAATAGTTGTGGATGATTACTATACCTTTTTAATGTGACGTTGTTGTCCCTGGCTCTCTTTCTCTCTCTCTTCCGCTATGTTCCTGAGCTACTGCGAGTGTAACTATCGCCCCTCCCCCCTCTGCCCAGCGTAAAGCACAAGGCTCGCGTGCGGAGTGAAGCGGGGAAAAGTGCAAGAGAGAGAGAGAGCAACAGAGTGAGAGAAAAAGAAAAAAAAAACACGGCTCCCAATAAGTAGCCGGCTCGCGTCGTTCACGTCAAAGACCCGGCTCTAAGAGCCGTTTCGTTCGCGACCGACACATCACTACTCCAGACTGATCTGACTGAAAGGCCATAAGCTCCAGCCTTGGTGTCGTTTGTTTCTCTCTAATTCCACTTTCACAGTGTGCGCATTTTTTCACCCACTGTGTCATTACTCCTTGGTCACAGTCACAATACTGTATTAATCCCTAAAGAAATGATGTGGTAACAGTGGCTCCGAGACAATAAGAACAGTAACAGACTGAACTAAAGTAAACAATACAATATATTACAGTGTTACAACAAGTGTTGTATTGTTCGATACATATGCGTACCGAACCGAAAGCACTGTATCGAACGGTTCAATATCGATACGAATATCGTTGCACCCCTAATATATATGTATATATATATATATATACATATGTGTGTGTGTGTGTATAGGTCCCTCATCCTATTCATGTAGCCCCTTCCGCCGGGGTTACTTGCGTAGTAGCATTCCAACAATGCCCTGTTTTCGTCTCTTGCCCACCGATGCCTTCTTGTTCCAGTAGCCCACTTTTCGTCAGGGTGCCCTGGTTCCTCAACACCTGATGCGGACCTTGTTGATCCGGGTGACGTCCGAGCCGGCATGCCTTCATATTTATCTGTCTCGCTCATGTCTGCGGTAGGCTTGCTTAGCATAGGGGGTCTAGCCTTAGGACCCTTACTGGATACAGACACCCCAGGCAGGAATTGAACTTGCGATCTTCTGTTCCAAAGGCGCATAGTCTAACCACTACGCTTTCCAGCTGCTACATAGTGGTGGTAGACAAACAGAAGAAGACGGCCGTAGTGATCGATGTAGCGGTTCCGAATGACAGCAATATCAGGAAGAAGGAACAAGAGAAGCTGGAGAAATACCAAGGGCTCAGAGAAGAGCTCGAGAGGATGTGGAGGGTGAAGGTGACGGTGGTCCCCGTGGTAATCGGAGCACTAGGTGCGGTGACTCCCAAGTTAGGCGAGTGGCTCCAGCAGATCCCGGGAACAACATCGGAGATCTCTGTCCAGAAGAGCGCAGTCCTGAGAACAGCTAAGATACTGCAGTCAAAGGAGCTTGCAAAGAAAAGCGTCTGGACTTCTTTAAGTTGCTTGAAGACGTTTCACCTCTCATCCGAGAAGCTTCTTCAGTTCTAAGGTCAAATGGTGGAGAGTCCCAGATATAAACCTAGTGGGAGTGACCCCCCACAGAGGGACAAAAGGACCCCCTGATGATCCTCTAATCACCTGAGCTGATTGGGACCCACACCCAGTTTCACACCTTGGCTCATGTGATTAGGTAGAGGATCATCAGGGGGTCCTTTTGTCCCTCTGTGGGGGGTCACTCCCACTAGGTTTATATCTGGGACTCTCCACCATTTGACCTTAGAACTGAAGAAGCTTCTCGGATGAGAGGTGAAACGTCTTCAAGCAACTTAAAGAAGTCCAGACGCTTTTCTTTGCAAGCTCCTTTGACTACGATGACCTGGATGACTGAGAACCTTCACAGACCTAAGATACTGCAGGACCCTCAAGCTCCCAGGCCTCTGGTAGAGGACCTGAGCTTGAAGGATAAACCGCCCGCAGGGGCGTGCTGGGTGTTTTTTCTTTTTTGTATGTATGTGTATATATATGTGTGTGTATGTATATATATGTGTGTATATATACATACACAGCACTTGTTGTGCGCATGCGCCAACCAGCGTGCAGCCTGTTACAGTCGCTCCTGCTTTTCTCTTAGTTTAGCTCTTTTTTCTTACGTATTCTTTTTTTTTCTGACTTGTATTTTCATCCGTTTTCTATCTCTTACTCAATCATGTGGATTGAGAGAGTTTTTGTTCTTCTGGTGACCGTGGAACTGTTACTTTTATCATGGAACGGGACCGCGGCACATCTCCTACACGCACTGACTGTTTACTCCAGAGATCAGCTGATCGCCCTGATGCCGGCCGGCTCGCTGGCCAGGCCCGCAGAAGTACCAGCTGAAATTTGGAGGAAAACACATCGGGGATGCAGAGGTCAAGGACAGAAAAGAAGAAAAAAGGTGACGGTGAGACAGCGGAGGCTCGAAGCAAGGAGGAGGTTTAAACCGTGTCTGCCGTCTATCGTGATGGGAAATGTGCGATCGTTGGCAATTAAAATCGACGAGCTCTCAGCACTGGTACGGAGTCAGAGGGAATACCGAGAGTGTAGCCTGATGTGTTTCACCGAATCATGGCTGCACCAGGACATTCCCGATGAGAATGCTTCCGTGGAAGGCTTCCACACTGTTCGGGCGGACAGGGACAGCATCGCTAGCGGTAAGCGGAAAGGAGGTGGGCTTGCTGTTTTAGTTAACAAGCGGTGGTGTAACCCTGCCAACATAACAATCAAAGAAAGGATTTGTTGCCCGGACACTGAACTGTGTGCTGTTGGACTCAGGCCGTATTATTTACCCAGGGAATTCTCTCACGTCATCTTGGTGGCTGTTTATGTTCCCCCCTCTGCTAACCCCACAGCTGCATGTGACACTATCCACTCTGCCATAGCTCGGCTACAGACTCAGCACCCGAGTGCCTTTATTGTGATCTCGGGTGACTTCAACCATGTATCACTGGACAATACACTACCAACATTCAAACAATATGTGGACTGTCCCACCAGGGGAGAGAAAACTTTAGACTTACTGTATGCTAACGTCAAGGATGCATACAGCTCCTCCTCCCTCCCCCCACTTGGTAGGTCAAATCATAACCTGATTCACCTCACCCCCCGCTATGTGCCAATTGTGAGGAGGGAACCTGTGACCACCAGGACTGTTAGGAGGTGGTCAGAGGAGGCAATAGCGGAACTACAGGGCTGTTTCGAGGTGACCGACTGGGAAACACTCTGTGAGCCTCACGCCGAGGACATCAATGGGCTTACTGAGTGTATCACAGGCTACATAACTTTCTGCACCGACTCCATTGTTCCAGCTCAGACTATTCATTGTTACCCAAATAACAAGCCGTGGGTGACTAAGGACATCAAAGCCCTCCTCAACAACAAGAAGAGGGCTTTCAGAGGGGGCAACAAAGAGGAGGTGAGGAAGATCCAGGTGTTACTAAAGGACAAGATCAGAGAGGCTAAGGACAATTACAGGAGGAAGCTGGAGTGGAAACTCCAGCAGAACAGCATGAGAGAGGTGTGGAGGGGCATGAAGACCATCACTGGATTCAGGCCAACCAACAGCAGGGGAGCTGAGGGAGGTGAGAATAGAGCCGACGAGTTGAATCTGTTTTTCAATAGATTCGACACCACAGTGTCTGCTCCCACCCCCACAACCTCACCTGCAGTCAGCCTGGAATCCAGAGCCACACCACTGTGCCAGCCTCTCTCTTCACATGTTGCCTCCTGTGAGATTCCTGACACCCCTCCCCCACCCATCACCTTCACTCAATACCAGGTTGAGATGCAAATGAGGAGACTTCACTCAGGCAAGTCTGCTGGACCAGACGGAGTGAGTCCCCTTGTCCTCAAGGCCTGTGCCCCCCAGCTGTGTGGAGTCTTTCATAAACTGTTTATGCTGAGTCTGAGTCTGCAGAGGGTCCCGGTGATGTGGAAGACATCATGCCTCGTCCCTGTACCAAAGACGCCTCGTCCCAGTGGCCCCCAGGATTACAGGCCCGTGGCACTGACCTCCCACATCATGAAGACCCTGGAAAGGCTCATCCTGGACCAGCTGCGACCCATAGTAAGACCACATCTGGATCCCCTTCAGTTCGCTTATCAGCCTCGTCTCGGAACTGAGGACGCCATCATCTACCTGCTCAATCGT